TTAGGTGGTAGAACTCGATTAACTTGGACTTGCTTGTGGCCTTGGGCAAGTCTCTCTCACTCTCTTGGCTCTTCCTTCTCATGTGTACAACGAAGGTGCTGAATTACACCTGCAGCTCTGAGTCTCCGCGGTCTGGCCCCTCTGACCTCATCACCACCACCCTCCCTCGGCTCACTCTCCTCCAGCCCACTGGCCTCCGTGCTGACCCGTGACCAGGCAAGACTGTTCTTGCCTCAGAGCCTCTGCACTGGCTCCAGTTGCCTGGACTAATGCTGTTTTGCCAAATCCCCACAGGGCGGACTCCCTCCTGCTGTTTAGATGTCTGCTGAAATGTTACCTCTTTAGACGAACTTCCCCTGAGCCCCTCTGATGTTGTGTCCTCTACCCTGCTCCTGTCAGGCCCATCATCTTACCCTCCCTGTCCTTCATAGCACTTAGCATTGTGTACTCAGGGTGCTTTGCTCAGTCCTCTACTGACAGAGCCTGGCACTTAGTAGACATTTCTAATAATTTTTTAATTGATTGCATTAAATTATTTTACATTCGTGATCCTCCTGATTGCTATCTGGGGAGAAAAAATGTTGGAATAAGATGAACGAGTGACCTTAGCAAACTGAACTGGCCTCCCAACACTACCTCCACTTCTGAGACTTCTGAACTTGGTGTCCGTGATGTGTCGGTAACATTCCAGTCACTGTCATAGGCTTCTTAAATAAAGGTTTTCCAATCCTTACACCTGACCTTAGGGCATAAGTAGGCGCATACCCAGTTGGCAGGCGGCATAGCTGGGATCTGAAGCCAGGTTTCTCGCACGCCACCACACTTCCAGACTTTATGGTCAGTTTTCTATGCCACCAAGGGCAATTCTGGGGGTCCTGTCATCACCCAGAGCCCAGATCCCCACAGCACTGTAGGTGGGTGGGATGAGCACCTAGGAAAAAATCCCTCTGGAGTAATCAGTGTTAGAAACCTCAGTGGGGCATGTTGCTTCGACATCCAGGAAGCTTCTAGAAGCAGCCAAGAAAATAAGAATCTACATGCTCTGGGTATTAAAATTGAGCAATGGATCTAAAAGAATGTTAAACACTTGGCCTTGGCTTCCTAATTTCTAGGTGTTAGTTTTCCATGTAAATTGATAACTAGTTAGATATCTACAGCTGGCATATACTGCTATGTATACTGGCATATACTCAGCTAAATGGTAATGGGAAGAAGACGGCTAGAAGAGCAAAAAAGTGAAAAGCATTGTCTAGTTGTGGGGAGGATAACACAAGTATCTGGAAAACAATGTGCCAAGTCCACCTTCGAAAGTACCATTTGCCCTGAATGGATAAAGAAGTTGTGGTGTATATAGGTATATATACATATAGTATATACACATACACAGATATGTATATATAGATCTATAGTGGAGTATGTCAGCCATGAGACAGAAGGAAATCCTGCCTTTTGCAAAAACATAGATGGACCTTGAGGGCATTATGCTAAATGAGATAAGCCAGACAGAGACAAATACTGCAATGCCACCACTTATATGTGGAATCCAAAAACAAAACAAAACAAAACAAAGTAAAACCCTTAGAAACAGAGAGTAGAAAATTGGTTACCAGGGGCTGGGGGGTGGGGGAAATAGGGAGAGGTTGGTAAAAGTGCACAAACTCTTCAGGTATAAGATGAATAAGGTCTGAGGCTCTACTGTACAACACACGGTGATTATAGTTGGCAACACTGTATTACATAACTAAAATCTGCTGAGAAAGTGGAACTTAAATGTTCTCAGATTAAATAGAAAAAAAGATAAATGCGTGAGGTGATGGATGTTAAGTAACTAGATGGTGGGAATCCTTTCACAATGTATACAGGTACCAAATTTCCATCAGGCCCAGCCATCAAATAGGTCTAACCTCCATCCACAGACTTCCTCTCAAGGTGCTCCAGGGCCTCCTGCTAGATTCCAGAACAATGGCTTCCAACCAGTGTCTCCACTATGAAGTGTGTTCCAAGAAATTTATTACCAAGAATCAAGTGCCAAAGGGGTTTATCTTTCTATACAGACTACAAGTTACCTTACATAATAGGTATTCTTAGTCTCCAGCTCCCATCCACCCCTTCCTCTGCGCCCCTTCAGAGAACTGCCCCTCTCCATGCTCAGACGGTATGGTGCAGGTAGGGAGAAACCTCCTTAGTTCCAGGATAGGCATGTGGCTCAGACCTGGCTAATCAGAGCCCTACATTCCCATGGCATAATGACTGGCTTTGGACTGGCACATGAACCAGTGGAGGAGAACGCGACCACTGCAGCTGGCAGGCAGGTAGGTTGTAAGCCTGGATCGCTCCAGGGTGGGGCTTGCCCAAGAATGACACCCACGTAGTTCAGCAGAGTTGAGTGACGGGAACATCAACTGAGCCTCTTGATCCTGCCAGGGTAAGTCCCGGAATTTTCAGTTACTTTCTCTGTCCAAGCAGGTGAGCCTTGGTCACAGCTGGCAACTGCTCACACAACGGAGCACTCCTCCCCTTGTGACTGCAGGCGAAGAGCAATGTGGGCAACAGGTAAGCATTCTGTGTTATAAAGGGGTGTGGGGAACCACTTTCTGTCTCTCAGTGTGCAGAACGACCCTTCTAGTTTGGGCAGATCTTCAAAAATTCTATTTGAAACGTGAAAATTGTTCATTTGTAGCCAATGATTTTGGTCTAACTTGGGATACTCAAGTTACTTGGGTTTCACGTTGGGCACATTTCATCCAGGCTTACAACCTACCTCCATTTACAACCTACAGTTTGTCTGTCCATCTTTCTTTGTGGGAGGGAATGACGATTCCTGACAATCTCTCAGGAAATCACCAAGACAGGGCTGTAGGTATCGGCATCTGTTTGAGATGGTCAGATGTTACCTATGTGACACCGTGCTGCAGACACTACCAGTCACCAGCTCCAAGGACGGGCTTGCCAGCTTGCCAGAGCTCAGAGTGCTATGCAGCCTCTGAAGTCCAAGGCATGGCTCCTGGGGGGCCCTCTGACTGCATAAGCCCTCAGAGGGCAGCACCCGTGCAGACCTGTAGAGGAAGCCTTGATTGGAGGACTGTGGTAGGACGCTGCCTGGGCAGTCCCTGTTGTGGACTGAATCCCAGCTCCAACCCTCCAGGCAGGTAGACCCGAGCTCCAAAAGGGGTCACAAACCCCACACTGCTTCCTTTCCCTCTATCTAGTAACACGCAGATGGTTATCCTGCAACTAATCTTTCATTGCCCCTCTCCCTATACCTTAGCAGCTAGGAAGGAAGTGGACATTTGTATGTTGCAGTTGGTTTTTACATGCACATGAAGGTAACTGTGTCAGATTTTAAGGCTCATGGTTTTTAGAAACAAGTATGTGCAAACAATAGTCCTCACAGCCAAAAGTTCTAGTGTAATCTATCAGTTTTAGGAGAAAAAGGAGAAAGATGACGAAGAACTGAGTAGAAAGTGTCCAGAAATTAAACATGGATATCAGAAGCCACTAAAAATAAACTCAATGCTGGAGAGACTTGGAGAGTGCGGCAGAGCAAGGGGGCCAGATGGCCAGTCATGCCATGGCTGTGGTGGATATTAGGAGCCAATTTACTACTGAGTCAGGGTCTCCACTCAACGCCTGCCCCACACTCCCACAGGTTCACATCCTGCCTTGTGCTGTGTGACCCACAGGCAAGCACTTTAAGCTCTCTGAGCTTCAGTTTCTTCTAACATTCTGCAGGACAAAGTTGCTGTAGGGATTACACAGGAATATGTATACAAATTGCTTTTGCCTGGTGTACTTTGTTCAACGAACGATGGTAATTATGATGCTCTATCATCATCATCATTTAGGCAAGAGTTCTACTCAGAAAGGGTGATCCTAATGATTGACCACTTGCTGCCATCAGAACCACAGGTCCCATTTATTTTAACAGTGAACAGGTTGCTGTAAACAGGTTACCTATCAGGACTACTGAAGCCTGAGGACCAAGGGTGGGGGGCAGAAGCGAAGGGAGGTTCTCTCCCGTCTGTGCATGTAAGATAAAACCTCCGTCAGCTCACCGATGCTTATTTTTCCCTTCTCCATTAGCTTGCAGGGACAGCTACAACAAATAATGAAAATGAGACCTTTTTACACAACATCTACTGAAAGCATCTTTCTTGCACATGGCTTAAAATACTGTGCATGTATGTTAGCATATCGTGTTGATAACGGATTAACAAACACACATTCAGCCTATTTACAAACAAGCCATTCACATATTGGATTTTCTATATTTCAAAATGGAATAATAACCTATATAACGGAGTACATCAGGTTCTAAGCCCCATGTTAACTAAGTTTCAGAGACTGTTAACAAGTTTAACACATACCTAGACTTCCCCCCTTACCTTTCAAGCATTAAGTACTGACTGACTGAAGCTAGAAATAAATATAGCTTTGCTTTCAGCCACTTTCAGTTTTATGTGCCACTGAGATGTTGTTTTAGACCTCTCATGATTAATGGCCTGTGATCCACAAGTGGGAAGATGGTTTCTTCGAGTCACAAAATATGGGCAGCATTGGGAGCTATGACCAAGCTGAACCACACAGTTATGTAACTGCTAAAGCCTGACCTTAGAAATACGTCAGGCCAGGCAGAAGTAACAGAAATCCTGCTTTGTCTTTCACTGCAGCATTAACGTTTACAGTGACACAGCACCCCGGCCACCCCCACTCCCCCAACCGGTTCTGATGTGCGTGAGCTCCTCTGTGCTCTCACGGCATCCTATCCGTGCATTATTCTATCAGCACTAGTCTCACTGTTCTGCAATGGTTGGAGTAAACAACTGCCGCCCCAGAAGACTCCAGGGGAGGAAGCAGACTGACAAAACTGGAGTCCCCAGTGCTCACCCGGAGCCCCGAACACAGCGGACGCACTACAAATGTGCACAAATCAAGTGACTGCAAGCTGTGCGCTTACTTTAAAGGATTCATGAGACAGGAGACTGCATTGAAAAAAAAAGTCAAAAAAGGAAACAACAAATTTAATTTAAAGAAAAAAACAAAACAAACTGCCTGAAAAGACAATGGAGCAAATCAACTCCTGAAAACAGAGTTCTGCATCTTGGTGATCACATTTATTGGAAGGGGTGGAGAAAAATAAACATGCCATTTTGCTTAAGAATTTGTGAGTTATCTGCACATCAACTCATTTCGGGTGTGGAAGAATCCTTGGTCATTTCTTAATATCAAAATCTAGGCAGGCTTCTCTTTTGAATATCTTCTACATTTAAAGAAGCAATCATACACACTATTTTCCACATGGATAAATCCTTTGTTTCAGCCAACTCTCAATGGAGGGGCAACTAGTACAACACCATCTCCCCGGACAAAGAGCATCGGGATATTCCGTTTTGTTGACTGGAAGAAGAAAAAAAAGAACAGATTTATACAAATCTGTAGTAGTAGTATTTATTTTTTAAGCGAGAAATTTGAAAACAAAAGACCAAATAGATTCATCATAACACAAACTGATTTTAAAAACCTGATCACTTACCTTTGTAGCACAAAGAATCATTCCATTAACCTCACTTTCCCTCAATATTAATAATTGGCAGAGACTGGAGCTATTGATCTTAATCCAGTCTCCTCCTCTCCTGGCACACAGCCAGACTACATTTCTCATGCTTCCGTGCAACCAGAAATAGCCATGGATTGGGTTTTCACCAATGGAAAGTGAACAGAAGTGACTGACTGACCCATAAACCTCCTATGAATGCCCTCTGTGGTCTTCCCCCCACTGCTGGATGGACTCAGATAATGGAGAACTGAGGGGATGGCAGAGCCACAAGACAGAAGCAGCCTGGGGCCCTGACTGAGCACCTCTAAGAAAGCTATTGTACTGCCCTAAAACCCCACTCAGGACTGTTCTGTGGGCGAGAAATAATATTCTATTGCAGCTGAGCCATTGCGAGTTGCTTCTATGTGCTACTCACTCACACATATGGAATGGAGACCTGGGGCATCAGCCTGGGGGTCAAGCCTTAGGCAGTAAGGAAACAGATATGAAATGTTTGAAAGCCTCTTATGCCTTGGCAAAACATTCGGTAAAACCATTGCCTGCAAGGACTTGAAAGTAGCCCAAGGATCTCCCAAAGCTATAGGTTCTGGGAGAAGAGGGTAGAAAAGGCCAAATGTTAGTAGATGTTGCTGTTAACCTGAAGTCCTCAGCAAGGCAGTGTAAGAGACAAGCCCAGGCAAGGACCAGGGGCTATCGGGCAGAGATTACAAGAAGGGTTAGAAAAGCCAACTGTTTTTAGACTCCAAACTGAAGACAATAAGCAGGAAAAAAGCTGAGGAACAAAGCCCAGTAAAACTTCTCAGTTAAACAAACTCAGCCCTGAGGCAAAGATCAGATTAAGGGCGTTCCCTTCCCACCCAAACCTACTTTTAGCAAATGGCCTCAAAGTAATCAACATTCATTTGAGGGAGAGGAACAGAGGTGAGGAACCAGAGAAATAAAGGTGTCTATAAGCTGTGTCTAGGGAAGAACTTTGACTGAGGTTACTGGCCCACAGAATTAACTGGAAGTAAACAGATCAGAAACATCCGAAGTCCTAAGTTTTTAAAGAAATTGCATTGCCAGAGAAACCAGAGCTTGGCTAAAAAAGCCTTTGACTGAGTCTTCCAGCACAAGCAAGAAATTAGCTGTGAAAGCTCTGCAGCTCCCATTTAGGGTTGCCAGATTCAACAAATAAAAATACAAGTCACCCAATTAAATCTGAATTCTAGATAAACAAAAAAATTTTTTTTGTATAAGTCTGTCCTAAATATTGCATGGGACATACTTGACCTAACCAAGGTATTTCTTCTACTACCTGGACAGGAACATTCGTGCCTCCCCAGGGGATTCATCATTACCAAGGACCGGTAACTGCTGTCTGTTCCCATTCTTTCCTTTTCTGAAAGGGACTTTTTACCATGGATATCCTGTCCCTGCTCTGCTGCAGTGCCTGTGAGAGGGGCAACGCAACTAATTCACCTTTTTAGCTTACAGGAATCTGTACCACAAGTGGCCAGACGTAGATCTGACAGAGAACCGCATATCGTGTGGAGAGGGTGGACCCTGAGCTGCCTGTCCTGCTCGTCTCCTTTGGGGCAGAGGTGAGGGTGTTCTGTGTGTGGGGAGCAGGGTTCGGAACACCCACTCTTGTTGGTCTTCATAGCAACTCCATGATCAAACTTACAAAGCTCAGTATAGCTATGCTGAGACCAGTGTAACAGCTCGCCTGGAGGATAACACAGCATGCCAGCCAGGCAGCAGCAGGAGGTCTCTCAGTGGGAGCCTTTACAACAGGCCAAGGACTGTTCTCTAGTGACTCAAGCGACAGCTCAGTTACCTGGTGGGTGCAGAAGCCACCCTGGTTTAACTGCTCTATGCTTCACAAAGTAAGCAACTGTCCCTGAGTGTAGCTTCAAAGTCACTAAGGAGGGGCAAGTGCCACTCCAAGCGTCACATCATGCTCAGGGAAGCCCAAAGCGACAGGTTAACAGTGTTTAGAGCTTATTCCTAGTTCTCCCAGTTCACATGCAGTTTGTGAACCAGTGGCATGTTCACCATAAGCATGTTTTCTAGTAAAACAGTTGACATTCCACTTTTATCAGGTTTCTAGGGAAAAGAGAATTGGTTAATTAATCCACGGTCATTTGTCCATGGAGAAGAGGATTTTTTTTTGAAACCCTTTGCTGAGAGGTATAGAGATTTGGTTGCCAGAGGGGCAGACTATAGCAGAAATTGCTAGCTAGTCATAAAAATTCCATTTTCTTTCCTTCTTGGGCACAAAAACTGTATTTCTCAGGTTCCCTTGCAGTTGGGTATGGTCATATCACTGAGTTCTAGCCTAAAGAATGTGAGAAGATCTATGTGGCACTTCAGGCCTGGTTCCTAAAACCTCCCAAGAGCATCACTCTGGTTCTTTTTGCTACCACTGGCTGGATGTGAAAGACAATAAAGACTTAGGGGATGGCAGAGTTACAAGAAGAAAGCAGCCTGAGCTCCTGAATGACTGTGTGGAGGAAACTTGCCTAGAACAAGTATGTGATCAAGAAACAACTTCAATTGTGCTGAGTCATTACATGTGGAGGTGGTGGGGGGGATTTGTCACTATAGTCTAGCCAACGCTAACTAATATGCCCCAAAGGGTAAACTTTCAACTATCCACGTGTGAGTTACCTCCCTTGGGCTGTCTGTTTATATTATCCACCCAGGAGACCAGGCTATAGACAAATAATTCTTGAGAATGAGGACATGAGCAGGTATAGGGGGTTCAGCATGTAAACTTAACGTCCTTTAGGTAAGAAAAGGATTCTATAAAGTCAAGATCAGAAAAATGTATTGGGGGCTGGGGGCTGGCCCGGTGGCACAGCGGTTAAGTTAGCACATTCCACTTCTTGGCGGCCCAGGGTTCGCCAGTTCAGATCCTGGGTGCAGACGTGGCACTGCTTGGCACGCCATGCTGTGGTAGGCGTCCCACATACAAAGAAGAGGAAGATGGGCATGATGTTAGCTCAGGGCCAGTCTTCCTCAGCAAAAAGAGGAGGACTGGCAGTAGTTAGCTTAGGGCTAATCTTCCTCAAAAAAAAAAAGAAAGAAAGAAAGAAAAGAAAAATGTATTGGCTTTCTAGTAATGGTGGTGAATTTCATCCAGAATTTAAACCACACACACGTATATACACATATATGTATGTACAAATATGTATACATACATATTTATATATAAATGTTTGCATGAGTGGACTTCACATTCAGTCTCAAAAAAGTTGAATGAATTAGTTTGAAACAGGAAAGATTTTATTTCAGTGCCAAGGACTGCAGATCCAAGCCTTGCCAGCTGTCAAACATATGGCCGGGGTAGGGGTTTGGGGAGGGTGCGCACACATGCACATATATATGTGTTCTCTTTATATGATTATGTGTCAGGTACTATGATAGACACTAGACACAAAGAGATGAATAAGACATAGACCCATCCTTCTAGAATCCCCATTCTAGAAGTGAAGAGAAAGCAGAGAAGGTATGAATCTACCCTATAAGAGTACTTACACATAAGCAAAAGATAAAATTATTTATGGCAGGATATCATATCAGCAATGATTGAAAGATTTGTATCAGCAAAAGACTGAAAATGGCTATCTGTCCATCAATAGGAAGTTAAATAAATTATGGTACATCTATACAATGGAGTACCATAAAGCTAAAGCCAAAAGTATAGAGAAGCTATATATGAAAATGGAAAAAGTTCAGACATATTAAATCAAAAGAGCAAGGTGTGTAACAACAGGCATGGTATGCTATCTTTTATTTAAAAAAAATGGGGAAGGAAAAGAGTTTTTATTCACATATGGATAAAGACACTGGGGGATTCAAGAAACCAGTAACAGTGATTATCTCTGGGGGGAGGGGGAGTGAAAAGAAGATGAATAGAGGACGGGGTGGAAGACTTTTCATTACATTACTTTTCATGTTTAGTGACTGTTTAACTGTGTGAATCTATTATCTGTTCAAAAAGTTAAATTAAAATGGAAGCAATTTAAAATGGATAAGAAACAAAATATGGTATGTATTCAGTATAAGTGATATATAATATGGGATCATAAAAAGAACAATTACCTATGGACTGGGAAGTTTGGAGAGCGAGAAGAATTACTTCCGTATGGGGGAGTTGGTCTAGAGCTGCTCTGTCCAACACAAGAGCCACTGGCCACAGTGGCTAAATTAAAATTAAATAAAATTGAATATTCAGTTCCTTAGTCACAGCAGCACATATTTCAAGTGCTAAATAGCCATATATGGCTCATGGCTACTGTATTATGGGACAGTATGGATATCGAACATTTCCTTTATTGCAGACAGTTCTGTTGGACAGTGCTCATCTAGAGAAAGGTCCAGGGAAACGTCTGACGCTGTCTAAAGGCCTGCAGGCAAAGGTCTGTTAGGTGAGGGAGGCTGCTGCAAGCAGAGGCAGCAAGATGGCTCAGGTACCAAAGACGGCACAACATCCTCAGAGAAACTGGCGAGTCAAACCATGGGGAGTCTGGTGATGGAAGGTGGTAAACATGATAGATGTTTGAAAAAGTAGGCTGGGGCCAAGTAATACAGACCTTTAGCAGTCTAGAAAACGGACACATGAATAACGGAGGGCTGAAAGCTGACAGAGTATGACTGCTCTCAACCTCCCCATTAACAAATCAGTAGTCAAGTTAATCACTCAGAAGTCCATTATATTACGTTACACGGAAAAACCCATGGTGCGTGGGTCTCCCTGTTTTGGTAATATTGATGCTCATTAGTAATTTCAACAGAGGAAAGAGGGAGTAAAACATAACATGAGTCAGGCTGAGGAACCATTCAGTCTGGTTTC